CCAGACTCAAGCAGACCTGGAAGAACAACTGGATGTGCAGCCAACACCTGAAGCTGGAACGACACTGCCACCCCCTCCATTACAGAGCACAGCAGCTGACGAGGCAGAAGATCATGGATAAACTAGCTACAGTCAACTCTCGAGACCGATTACCAAGGCTCAGTGGAGAAGTACCGTTGGACAGTATGCTAGAAGACGCCAATAGAGCCCTCCAGACAATCCCTACTACCACCATAACTCAAACCAATGAACTGATATACACTACAGCTGTTGTAATCCTGGAAATGCTTGGCTACACGATCAAGAAAACAGCAGTACATATCCCCTCTGGAAAATGAGGTTGGAGGCTAAGATCAAAGCAACTCGAAGAGAAGACAGTCAGCTGGTGGAACTACAGAAATATGTGGAGTTTAAGGATAAGACTCGGCTACTGAAAAAATACAAGAGCCTGACTCCATCTGAAGCCCTAGAGACTGCTAAACAAAGGCTCAGAGCACTGGCTACCAGGCTAAGGAGATACACTAGAGAAGCAGAGGCCAAGAAGACAAATGCCCTGTTCTCCAAAGAATCATCCAAACAGTACTCCCAACTGCAGTGCAACAACAGAGTAACAGCAGAGCCACCAGCAGCAGAAACTGAACAGTACTGGAAGAACATATGGGAGAAAGAAGACACATAACACCAGTGGTAAGTGGCTGCAGGACCTAAGAGCAGGTCACAGCAATTTCCCAGAACAGGAACCAGTCACCATCACAGGAGCAGACATCCAACAGCGGGTCAAGAACATGAAGAGCTAGACAGCACCTGGCCTGGACGTGATCCACACCTACTGGCAAAAGAAACTAACAGCAGTGCATGAACGCCTAGCAGCACAGATGAACCAACTGCTAGCAGCAGGTTCCCACCCAGACTGGCTAACACAACAAAGGACCGTGCTGATCATGAAAGACCCTCACAAGGGAACAGCACCATCCAACTACCGGCTAATAACCTGCCTTCCCACAATGTGGAAAGTTCTGTCAGGCATCATAGCTGCCAAGCTACAAGACTATATGGGCCAGTACATGAGCACAGCTCAGAAGGACATTGGGAACAACACCAGA